TAATATAGGGGAAGGTTGGGACATATTTTTCTTTTTCATATTCTGAGCCGTTTATTCTGCACAATTATTTAACTTTGCTGGACTAATGCAGAGCGATTTAAATGTAGTTTTTATTCAGCGACTAAGAAATTTTCTCGCGACACACATTTTATCACCAGATTAATTTGAAAAACGTTTGTCAAGTGTCCCACTGTACCCCACCTGTGGGGCACATTCGGACAGAACCTGGAGCACAATGCGGCATTCTGTCAAAATTCAACGACGTATGCTCCTAAAAATAAGAAAATATTCAGAATTATTACCTAATGAACAGGGCGACTTCAAATTTAAAGATTTAAGATTTTTAAAATCAATGTTCAACCAAAATATTTCAGATATTTTTATAAAAAATTTCGTGAACAAATTAAATTATTTCCTTTTTCGAATCTGAATCTGGAAATATTTTTGATTCTTGAATATATTCCATATTGGGCCACGGGCCGAAAAAAACCATAATATCACACAAATTATAACGCATCTTCAGGCCTCTGAGCACTTATTGTATCAAACCCTGCCGAATTGTGCCCAGCAGGGCATGTTCCACTGAACCCCGGTTCATTGTTCCCCATAGGAAACAGATATTTTCAGACCATCCCACGGCAAAATTAGGAAAGCACATCTACTCGCCAACGGTATGAATATTTCACGGTGGACTGAAGCTAAAAAATACCAGACGCTGGTTTGTCCTGTTGGAAAAGCCAAGTAGAAAAAATAAAAAACTGGAATAGTGAAATTTTAGTTTCAACCCCCCAAAGCAAATTTCGGCTAGCCATGCGTCGCTCTACACGGCCGTTGTACGTTTGCGGGGACGTTGTAACTCACACAAGGGAGAATTCAAACATCGAAACGCAGACCGGATACCGGATATAGTATGAGTGTGAGAGTTGATTTCCCACTGTGTCCCATGTTTCCTCTACTGACTTGAGAATTTTTTCTAAAGCATATTAACAATATAGATACACACTGGAAAAATTGTATCCGGAAGAGGAAAATAATAGTTGGGATATGATGAAGACGTACAAAAACATAATCAAACACTGTATTTATATCATTAATCCTGTAATAAACAAAAAAATTTGTTCTGTCATGCATGGTTGGGTTTCTTCCATTTCATTGTTCTTTTGGGTATTTGCTTATTTAGGTTTTTTCTAGGTATGTTTTCTAATAATGTTTTGAATGCGTGACATTAGATGTAGTATAATGAAAATGTTCTTTATGTTCTTTGTATAATATTCAACAAATCTTCGCCTTCAAATAGTTACCAAAGTATAGTTTGGAAAGCATTGGGAGTAGTTCAATTTGCATTACAATACATGGATTGTAAGGGATTATACAGACATTTTAAACCAGGGGTGGGCAACTTCTCTAGTCGGCGGGCCAGACGTATGAAGTACTCGGCGGGCCGGATGATTACAAAAAATACTTCGGTATCCAATCTTTATTAAATGCTCATGGTGATGCTCTGGAATATTATACTGCCTATCTTGATACATTCTGGTTTAAACAAAGAATTATTCATAACCTTTTATTTGGATGGATTTGGATTAATCAAGAAAAGCATGCAGCAGAGCGGAGCGCTTTCGCGATAAATCGGAACCGAAAAAGTGTGATACTCGGCGCCAATACGTCGCCGGGCCATCGCGCACTTATCAAACAGCAATATGATGGCGGAAGAGAAATTGCGTAATAAACCAACGTAACTTCGTCTTTTCGGCTTCGGTAAAGCGATTGAGACGGTAGAAACAAAACAAAATGAAATTTTCCGCGGACCGGCAAAAAAGCCTCGTGGACCGGCACCGGTCCACGGACCGACGGTTGGGAACCACTGATCTAAAGCATATAGAACTTTTATTGTGTAAATGAATTATCAATAAAACATGCCCTCCCCCAATACTTTTCTGAGATTACATCGAATTTTTAAAAGTATTATTTGACAGACCAACTTTTCTAATAGTCATCTTCAGTGTGAAACCTAATCACTTCAGAAAATAGGGTGGGAGTTGACCTCGATGACCTCATGATCGTATCGCATGGTCCCACCCCTGTTTTAAACTATGCTTTGTAACTTACACCGTTTCAACATTATACAAATTTATACTTGTCATAGCAAATACTTGATATCCTTACTACTAGCCTTAGAGATTTGATTGCTGAAACGGAACAAAAATACTGTGGAATATAAAGAGGGTCGTTGTCACTGCCTGAATCGAGTCTGACTTAATGTTAGAATTTAAATAAGTTCATTATATTTATTTCACCGACCGGGGAGACTTGATGAACAGTTTACAAGCTTCTCCATGTATTATATATAGTATATTCAAACAATCTGATAAAAAATTAATAATAAATGAAAACAAGGTTATGACCTATTTCCTATTCTACCCTTTCGTAAACAACTCCGCGACTTGACGAGCAGTTTACAAGTTGCTCCATTTATTATATATAGTATATTTAAACAGTCTGATAAAAAATTAATAATCAATGAAAATAATGATATGACCTATTTCCTATTCTACCATTTCGTAAACAGCTCCGCGCTGGTGATTGCGGGGACTAATATTCTTGATAGACCGCGGCTACACATACAATCCTAAAAAGCGGCACTGTTGAATAGCGTTGTATAACAGTGACTTATTTTATTTTATTTATAATCAAAATTGCCACGCCGGGCTATAATAACAGCTCAAATTAGAATTAAGTATGGACAAATAAATACACACGGCTATATTTCATGCTAATTTAGTATTGCCAGATATATGTCTTTAGTTTGAATATCACAGCGCAATATATATATATATATATATTACAACTGATTGAAAATGTTTAGATGTTATTATTATTCCGTTTCAACCATAAACCTCTAATTGTCAAGATGGCCACTTCCTCATTTTTAGTGTTTTCAAACAAATCGATGTGGTTGTAGCTCACACAAAGCCCAATATGTTGAACAACAAGTGCAATAGTCGACTTCACTAACAATCTTGCCTTGACCCGTAATCGCCGGGTTCTCCAGCATCTGACGGAGTGTTGTTGGTTGTAGATGCGACACCATCAATCCACATCCACGCGCCGTTGCCCAATTAACCGAAATTGAAATCGATAAACCAATTAGTTAGAAGAGCGATTTTTTCCGAATAACAAAAAGAAAAACTCAACAACAATAATTTAGCAAAACGATCCATATGTAGCCTACACATCGTGTCCAACAAGGAAATCTGTTATAAATAAATGATGCAATGGGCACTAAATTTTTTTTTTTGCATGTCGTTTATCATTCCCGTCGGCTGATCATGTCATTTTGGAGGGTGAAAAAGTTTTTATAACATATTGCAGCATGTGATATTATAACAGCACGAACCTGAATAGGGGACAAAGCGGATTTCGAATTTTGCTTTGCCACAGAGATGATTCTTAAATGCAGACCAAAGAAATTTTAATAATGAAAAAGAGTCAACGATGGGGCCATTGTTACATCAAATGCAGTTCAGATAGATATGCAGTTTCAGAATGCATAATTGTTTCGTCATGTATTTTGGTTTCCACACAGGACATGGATGCATCATTTTAAAAATATATGATTCGCCTAAGTCAGTGTTACCAAAGTCAGGGGTTTTGACTGAGGGCCGGGTATGACTCAAACTGTGTTGAAACGAGCCGGATGAAAATTTTTGTCAATGCAATAAATTCACAAAAGTTGAGAAATCCATTCAATTCATTCAACAATATATATTCAACATTTCTGAATAATAAATTTTAGCTATATCGCAGAATATAGACATCCTAGGAAAAAATAAAGTGGAAAAATATACAAGATTTCCATGTCTAGACAACTGTCAGTTTAGCTGTTATCAAAACGTTGATGTCATAAATTAGGAATGTTACAAAATCCGCTTTTTCGCGCCGAAAAAATGTATGCATCACGTCTGCTAAGTACCGTTATGCCGTGATTATAAAAAGCTTGTAATTTTGTGACTTCTTGATGTAATTTGGGCAGTCAAACAATGCAGTTGGACATAAAATATTTATAGAGATTGTGACATACGGATGCTTTATTTAAAACGAAAAATCAGTGGATTTATAGGTCGATAGAAGAACGAGGCAATATATCACAGGAGGATACAGTTTTCGTATACGTACCTTTCGGGGAATATGATTAACGTTACAGAAATACCATATACTTCAGTAACTTCTGATAGTAATAGAGAATTTGGAACGTCGTTTGCGGGTTGGGAATTATACCAAATATTTTGTGCACCGTTGGCGGCCATTGCCCTTCATATCGCTATAACCCAAACTGTTTTTTGCTTTATAAAACTGAAAAAGAAAGGGAGCGTTACTGACACACGATCTTCTCCGCAAGCATACAAACAGTATGCAAGCACTCTGAACGTGATGATGGCCCTGGCTGCAATTCTTGGTCTTCTCCGGTCAGGATTCGATTTTCTTTGGGTGCTGAAACGCTTCAAGGATTTTTCGTGTCAGTTTTCGTCCAAATTCAAAATAGCTGCCTATGCTTTATTTTTGTTGATAGTCTATTTAATCTTATGGCTTCGGCGAAGAATATTTTACCAGCATCCTCAGTTGAAGCATCTTAGTTCACGAACAATCAAAATACTCAGTTGGACAATGAGCATCGTGCTTGTAATAGGAGTATTCTTCACCGGAGTACTATATCTCGTAACTGCTATCTATATAGGAACTCCGATCGGATGTCAAGTTGTGAAAAACTCCTGGACGTCAATTCGATATTACGTGCTAATAATCGTAACGGTATTCTTTCAAGTGTGCTTGCTCGGCCTATATTCATACCCCCTTATACAGCACAAGAGAACGTCTCGAAGCATTTCACAAAAGAAAAATTTGGTCATACCTCTCATAAGAAGGGCAGGCTGGATGCTGTGTGGCTACAGACGTAGCAATAGCACTGATTTTTTTTGGACCCATTTGGAATGGACAAGTCGTTACTTTGTCAACTTTGCTTTACGACGTTAATAACATTGTCAACCTGATAGCAGCAATATTTGCATTCCCAAACTGGAGAAATAGACTTATGCCATGGAAAATTGGCAAAGAGGAGAAGGCTCGTTTGGCGGGAAATGAATCGTCAACTCAAAACCATGGCACTAGCGAGACAAACATTTCGTCAGTAGTACGAGAAACTTGCTTTGTAGCTTTAAATAATTCGCTGCCACTGGGTTCAACCATTTAGGTCAAAAAGTTTGTTCAAATTCATGTTGATATTAAATTTATTTTGTTTGTTGTTGTCACTACAAGGAATTTATAATTACAAACTATAATACAACAAGTACACATTGTTAGGAAACAGATATATTTATTTCATCAAGTAGAGAAGTTGTTTAGTTTTAATATATACGTTGTTGAATTGTTTTTATGAAAACCATATTTTGACAATTTTTCTCCCGACATTTGTAACAAGTTTCCATTTTTTTTGCAGCTGAAAAATATTTTAAATATTTTAAATATATATAATATGAATTGCTCGAATAAATAGGTTTAAAATTTAAGGGAACGCGCATGAATGTGGTATAGTCCAGTGGTTTCTGACCGCTGGTCCGCAACCCATTTCTAGTCGCTTTTGTGCCGGTCCTCGAGATGCTTGACCAAATCCGCTGGTGCAATTATAGTCATCCTTATATGAGACGTTATAATTTTATATTATGATATTATTAACTTTTTTAAATTAAAAAAGCGCGTATATTTACTTTTAGAATTTCGACATATTGAGTTGATAAAAAGAGTTTGGATAGCCTGGCTCATGATTGGACATTGAACAATAAAATCTTTTTATCGACACCTTACCATCTATTTGCAGACAATACAAGCGAACGAAGTAGTATAGAATATTTTTCAAAACCTTGCGCAGAATTGGATTACCTTTGTAAAACGCCATCGTCGTACGCGTTTATATATTTTCAAATTTTGCTCGAATGTTCCCAGCCCACGTGGATGTAAAAATGTGTACTAGATTCTAATTGTTTGCTAGAGCTGTTTGTTGTCGAATCATTTTTGGTGTTTAATGATGTTTTGTTCTAGTCCACGCCAAAACATTGGAGTATGTTACTCAACCACAAGCTATTATTTTTTGTTTCACTAATTTCAATATTTAGTTACCGGTCCGTGAGATACTTTTATTTGATTTAACCGGTCACGAAGGTAAAAAGGTTGAGAACCACTGGTGCAGTCTAATATACGACACTTAAAAAAGATTCTGACTTAATTGTAAGATGCGGAGGTGGCCAAATCAATAATGCACGGATATTGCTATGCGGATCGAAAACTCATTAATCACTCATTGCTACTCGTTTCTTAGATATTGTAATTACAAAACAAAACGGCGCTGCCGAAGTATGTGCACTTAGATGGCGCACAACCTGAACCCTAACCTGGTACACATACTATTTTTAAGTTGTGCGCCATCTTGGTGCACATACTTCTGAAGCTCCGATAAACGATAAGTTGGGTTTTCCTAAACAAATAAGTTGTGCTGGAGAGGTCTCTCACAAATATTTTTTTTTTAATCTTTGTTTGATTCATTTTGTCGGAATTTACTTACATCGAGTTACAACGCAATGCCAAGAAGCAATTCATAATGACAGCAATGTAAGTTTAGTAAAGTAAATAACATCCAAAACAATAATTGAGGAATGTGTGCAAGGCAATGTGTAAACACAGAGTCCAGAAATGGACTTTTGAAGGAAACCCAATATGACGTTACAGTCAATTTTCACTTGTTGATTCGATGAAATATGATTTCATATTATGTCGTCACAAATTATAAATGAAGTCCCCTCAACGAAATCCAGCGAGCGCAACTTGCCACTAACTAACATATTGTGTTTTTTTAACCAGTTGCTACTATACGTGAATTCTTTTGACAATATTTTATCTTGAAGAGCATCTAAACTAGAATCTTTTGCATACTACATCGTGAAACATCAAAAATAAAATTTAATCTATCATTAACAAATCTGCTACATCCCATAATCAACAACTTTATATATATTCATATAAAATTATGAGTTACTTGGGTTTCACTTACCTGATTCCAAGTAATCGTCGTCCACATGTAGAAAATCCAAGCATTGAAAAGTAAATTTACCGTCATCATCTATTTCGCAATAGCTGTAACCTAAAAATTCTTCATCGAAACAGGAAACCTTTATTTCTGTTGTTAATGCTTCTCCCTGTTGCGTCTGTGAAATGAGTAAAATGATAAAGTATACTAATGTTTGCATGAAATTCTGGAAAGGCCTTCAAATGTTTGTTTTACTATCATGACTGTCAAATCGTTGAATAAATGTCAAATATATTCAAATTTTAATTTCGATTTAGCTTTCAGTACAATAATTCTTTTTGTATTATAATGGAGGTAAATTTAAATACTCCATTGTTGCCGGAAAATAATGCGTTTTCATGTACCTGGTAAAATGAGTCAGAAACTAGTGGATCAGGAAATTTATTCAAAAGCGTCATATCTCCTCTCATATCTCTCCGAGATGATTTTTTTGAGAAATAGTTGGCCAGTTCGTAAGAAGTATAAATGCAATATTTCTGCAAGACAAAAGAATTAGTAAGTAATATTGGTTTTACAATACAATAGTATTAGTAGAATTTTTTGAGAGATTTACTTGAAAATATTTACCAGACACATACTATTAAGTAAGAATTTATACATAAAAGCACCAAGATGGCGCACAACCTGAAACCTAACCGGGTACACATACTATGTTCAGGATGTGCGCCATTTTTGTGCACATACTTCTGGAGCTACAAAATGTCGGTGTAATGAGGTTTTAAGACTGAAAAGACGCAAATAGAGAAGAGTAGAAATCCAAACGAAGACTAGTTTTAAACCATATTTACCATGTTAGTTATGTCACACAAAATGACTTCAAAATCAATCAGTCCACATGACTCTTCCGGAACGAATTTCCCATTTTGACATTTGACCTTTGAACTGCCTTTCAGAATATAGCCATCATTACATAACACGTAGCAAGTTTTGTAAAAATTGTTTCGTATTTCATCTTCACAGGTCGTAACATTTCCCGACTCTATTGAAGCTATGTCACAATAATCGATTGCATTCCAGCCTGTGAAATGTTTAGAATATCATAAACTTGGTCCCCGTAATGACATGCAAGAGATTGATATTGACCAAGCAGGACTCGAAAGAAGCATATTCAAAAAAAAAGATTGTCTTTTCGTTGACTTCTCCCACTTTATGAATATTATACGTTTTGTTGGGAAAGGCTCATAGATAGCAGCTACCTATGGTATACTCATTTTCCTGCTAAAATATATGTAGGGTATAAGCTTTATAATTACTGGCGATGTCAATTTATTTGATGTCAGTTTTCCAAAGGAAAGAAAACTACGTCCATATTGTTATCTCATGTTTATAGATTCCAAGCAGTTCTAATGCAGCTAACTAATGCAGCTTTGAATGTAAATAGTTTCTTCTCCAACGATACAACTACAAATAATCCCTATATTCCACTTACTATCATAAGTAGCATTAAATCCTCTGAAATTGAAATCGCCATCACTAATAAATTGTATACTGACTCGATTTGATTTAGAACGATATTTTGCATCAAAAATAGGAGTATAGAAATATACACCATCTTCATCTTTCCCATTCTCAAAAATCTAAAAATATTTGTATAAGTTCTCTACAGAAAATAAACATGAAACACACTTTTCTTCAATAAAACGTTTTAGACTTCCATTTTAACAAGACCCTTGACAAACTGTCCAGTTATGCGTATTTAAATGCTGGCTTTGAGTGGGACGCAATTTTAGCTCCATAAACGTCCCAAGTTCTTGAACCTTGAATAAAGTCATTGCATAATTTCAAATTATGGAGAGTAAGGTTTGGGTCGTTTCTAGTTTGTGTGCCCAACTCACAAGAAGGATCTATCTATGATATTTTTGCGTATCATGGCGCTTGACCTCGAGGTATGTTAGATAAAACACCAGCATGAAAATGTCACAATTACAAATCATCACGCTTACAAATTATTTTTTAGCAAAAGTATTATCTTTATGTTGAGTATAAACTTATTTCAACAAAGGCAATTGACAGACAGCAGAGAAAAATGCCAATGCAGTACAGCGATTTCAATTCAAAAAGCCCTACAAATCATGTTTCGAAACAGTTTAAATTGAGTATATATACAAAAAGATAAAAGTCAACAACACCAGTAATATAATTATTTTTCTTCAAAAGCTGTAATTTTTAGTTTTCACATTTCTCAATTCTTACCACCAAGTAGTCATTTCTAGTTTCGTTCCATGCCAAGAACCGATCGTCAATTTGAAAATCCGCAAAATTGATTTCAATAATATGTCCGGGATTAACTTCGATCTTCCACTCACAAAACTGGTTACTTGGGTAGTTGAGTGGATATAGAGGTGATGTAAACCATCCTGTTGTCGATGTAAATATACTTTTGCCACAGACATCATCTTAATACAAAACATCAAAATGCTTTAATTCAATGTTAACTTCAAACAATAAAGGTAGACATATGATGATTGTTCCGTATTAGCATTTTCAATTTTTTCTCATACCCTCACGAATACATATATACCTTCTTACAACATTCTATGTAAAGCTATTGAAGTAAGTTTATGAAGCACGATATTAATTTAAAGATTTCATGCATTTCTAACACTGTTAGGTCTTAACTACGGACATTTGTTTTTCATACCTTTCACAACATTTTGCTTTAATTTGGAGTTGAAATGATTATATTAAGATTAGATAGGCTCATTTATCGACTCGATTCAAGTGAGACGTGAGACATCATTCATCGAAGAATAACAGTGACTCGAATTATCTAAATGCAGTAACTCGCATTCGTCATCAATTAACTGTCAGTGAGACTTGACTTGGATTCGGACTGGAATCACCCGTGACTAGAATAGATTCGCATTTTAAAGGGTTCTACTCAACACAGCTGAATATGCAAGTATGAGGAATGAAATTGTCATTAGTGACAAAAAAACTCATAGTGACATGATCCGATCATATCAGGTTTTGTAATTCGATCGTTCTGATAACCATGAAAGTGAATCGGGATCGGCTTTTGAAATTCGGGAATATAGGTTCGAAGAATTTATTGACAAAAAGACATATTTTCCTATGAAACGTACAAAATAGTTTTCAATGCTGCATGCTGGAAAAGAATTATATCTCGTCGATATGATTTCTGCCACAAATGTATATTATATTGATATCAAAACACAAATGTCAAAACAGTTCAAAGGATTTGTAATAGATTTTACCTTTTTCCGCATTCACCATCCACATCAGTAAAACATATATTATACAAAATGTTGTTCGCATTTTTATTTCACTGTAAATAAAGCATCAAATAGACATACAATCAGTACTAAATCCATTCATTAGAATGCAGCTTACAGGTACTTGGGCTTTTAGCAGTAGATGGAAATTGACAATCTCTGTCGTTTCACGTGATACTTTTTCCATGTTATCTTTGAGCAAACTACTTGGCTGAAAGTCACTTATTCGGCTAATTTTATCTTAGCGTTAAACTTTTTTTGCTACAATTACTCCTTCACCGTTGTGGGATACTCATTCACTTATCCTTTGCAACTTTCTCTATCTATCACTCTCAGTCATGACCTAGCTTTGATATAATTTTATTTGTCTGGCATATCAAAACCAATGGTTTACAGTTTAGCGGATTAAAGCCCGCGTGGTTCGCTTTTTCATTAAGCTGTAATTATACTCTATCCTAATATAAGTTGTCAGTAATTACCATGTGTGCTACCATTTTTACGCTGAAATAATGGCAATAAAAAACTAATTCGTCATGTGCTAACTTGGATATATTATTAAATGCAACATGAAATCTAGTTTGAATATATAAATCTATTTATATTCTCTACATGCAAATTTTAAATTTACGTAACTGCCTAAATTTTGGCTTTTTACTATGGGCAAAAATAATCATCGACAATGACCTTTCGAGCAGAACATACGGCAACAGTGCTTGAGGCAATCGGCGGAAATAAACTATAGTTGTAGTGAAAAGGATAACAAATGCGGTAACCGCCCTAACAACGATAGCGCAAAAGGCACGACAAAAGATTCAAATAATTTTAAAATCTGGAAAATAAATGATAAACCAGAAAATTCTGTATTTTTTGTTATTGCGTAGGACACTGACGTCGAGCAAAAAATATGAAAATTACTATTTACACGATGGATTCCTATTTTTATAGTATCTCCCACTCGATGAGTTTTATCTTTGTGTAATATTGTTTAAAAATATTTGGAAGAAGTTCGCAAGTAGAAGGTTTCGTAGAATGTTATGTTATGACACAAACCTTGCAATGAATTTTTTATCCTCGTGCTGGTTGCTGGCTGGCAAATATACATATACGTGACTTGACTCGGTCAATTTATTTATCGTGATTCGACTGTTTATTCATATGCCATATTATTGCATTTACCAAAACCCGGCTAAACCTACATTTTATTGTAAAGTATGGTGTCATGCAACTGAACTTTCCCCTTACCATTAACAATGACTACAAAATGATTACTATCCCTTTTTTATTATGATAAAATTTTTCTTATCCTTATTCTGATAAACCATTTTTTACTTTTTTGTCACTATCGACCACAAGTGATTTTAGGTATATATTTTCATGTGAGATCTATTTCCCTTCGGTAAAAGAACTAACAAAGTCTGTGTTGGAGCGATATATTCGTGTTCGCGCTGGGGATGAAAATGAAACTGGCTCTAACGCAAGTATCTGTCTGCTCACGCCCGATGGATACATTTCGGTGGACAAGAAAACAACTTATAACTGAGGCAAATATCGCATGACGTTCGTTTCAGCATTTAGGTCAAATGACATAAAATAATTTAAAAAAAAAATCATGTTTCTTCATAGGCTCGAATAGACCGACAGCAACTTTTGACAAGGAGATACGTGGTCACACAGTCAGAAACATGTTTTCACATTTCAATTATGATGTCACGAACTCGGAAGAATCGACTCGAGTCCTTGACACATTACTTATATTCGTTTTCGTCGAATCTGACCATCGACTGACTCGTCACATACTTGTGATATGTTGTTGCTACGCTCAATTCATTTCAAAGTTGGTCCGACTTGCGGTAGTATCACGCAAACCACTGCACATCTGCTTCCTAGTAGCATTTATTGCTGCACTTTAGTTTGGATTTATTTTTAATTTATTCTTCTCATGCTTTACATTCAAGTTGAATAAAATTTTACATCATGGTATACTCATTTTATAAGTCATCACAATGAGTTAACAACTCAACCAACTATTTACTCATTTTATTATTACTCTATTTTTACAGGATAGCTTATTTTCTCAAATCTGATTTGATATCAGCATTAAGAGACTCTGATGAGGAAATGAATGCAATGATTTTCTCTATTTATTATTAATAATCTGATTATTAAGTAAGAAACAAAGTTATACAGAGAAGGAAACAATCAAAATGTTAACACATAATGTTGTGCTAAATTGTTGAGATAGATTTGTCATGAGGTTGCGTTGTTTTGTTGAAATTACGGTTTAAATGTAAACAACATTCGTGCATCCAATTGCTCGACATTGGAAACATAACTCCATCTTCGCCGAAGCTGAAAAATAAATAAGATAATTTCCATTTGATTTTTATTTAAATTATTTCATCTGATTTCATTATATCAAATAACATATGTTTGATCCTTTTAATTTTAAATTGATTTGTTCGCAATTCAGCTTCTGGCAAATAAACTGATCTCAACTTGATGATATTTTACATTTTTAACAACTTTCTTTTTGCACAAATATTATTAAGTACAAGCCTGTTTTTAAGCAGCATGTTACTTTGTCCAAAATGATTCTTATTTGTGTAAATAAATTTTGTTGTATTCAATCATTTGGTTGCAATTTAGTAACACTAGCATACCTGCTTTGTAGCCCAATTTCCTGATTTTTAAAAAATCTTGACATTTGAAGGCATACTTCTTATCTTTCTTTCTTGCACAGTAATTGTATTTCAATAATTTATCGAAACAGGATGCTTCGATTCCAGGAGAAGAGTTTGGGCCTACTCCAGATGGCGTGTCCTATAAAACGAATATTTATTTGTACGTAAAATTCTAAATATATTTCCACCATTTCAGGCATATTATTTTAAATTCAAAACAAAGTCTTAGAAGACACATTTTGTTTGCTTTAATGACAACATTTTAATCTTAATTTTCATATTCAGTGCGACATTTTATTGAAAATTTACGTTAATCCATATCTATGTTCGTAATTTCGATAGAAAGACGTGAACGACTTAAGTGTTGAATGTTAGTGTGAGAATAAGCGCTAATAATAATTATTTTCTACTCAAATAATGTATTTAAAATATGTGTTTATTACTCAAGTAAATATATGAGATAATAATATACACACAGGTCAACGTGTTATATGATAGATATTTTCAAATATAAACTATCAAGGAGACTTACTGTCGGTGGAGCATTTTCTAACGGATCAGGAAATATATCTAGAACTGATTTATTATCATCCATATCGCCATCGTAGTGTGTGTTAGAAATTTGGTTCCATAAATATTCCGCCATTTCGTACGTCGAATACAGGCAATATCCCTAAAACAAGTAGAAAAGTTTTCTGAGGCAGCAATGAAACTTCGTCTACTGTGAAAACTAGAATCGCCGTTATTCAGCCAGATGAGTGACCTATTCCTTAATAGATGCATATATGTAAATATGTTGACTTTTTATCCCAGTGAATATAGGAGAAAATAAGACAAACAAGAACAAAATGAGCTTCGCTTATGTAACAATTTAATACTTCCACACGGGGGAATAATACTTTTCTTCGTGCCCAACTACATTACAAAATAGAAAGCCTGAGATGCGGTGCATAAGTTTCATTTTCTTTCAGCCAAATGTTATTTCTATGAAACTTGTAACTCGCAATTTGGATAAGGGAGCTAAATTATTTGTTTCAGCAAAAGATAAATTCAAATGTTTTGATTATTAAACATTTAAACCTCATTACCATATCTGTTAATTCACACAGGCGAGCTTCAAAATCTATCAATCCGCATGGACTTTCCGGTAAAAATTTTCCGTTGTTACAGTGGACCCTCGAACTTTTTTTAAGAACGTATCCTTCCAAGCATGTAACGTAACAACGTTTATAAAAATGAAATTTGCTTTCATCAAAACATCTTGCTTTTTTCACTGATTGTATTTGAAGTGTATACTTCTCGCAGTAGTCAAGTGCGTTCCAACCTGTTTGAATGAGCCAGTGAATAATTTGAAAGTGATGTAAATGCAGACATATAGACCACCGTGTTTGAAGATAAATACTCATTTATGTATATTGAACTTGGAAGTTTCTATCTATGTTTTTTCTTGCAAAAATCATTTTGATGAAATTTTAATGTTTTTTTTTATGTGCTTTATGTAATTTTCGTTTTGAATCGTTCCTTCTTTCATTTCATTTGGTGTAGATATCTATGCGAGTGTAGTAGTTTAAAAAAAACAATCACAAGACAATAAATAAAGTGGTGAAATTCAAAATTTTAAGAAAGCGTTCTCATTTGTACCACCTCACCGCCAACATTTCCTCATTCCAGAAAATCTTACCACGTAACTACGTGGTAGCTCGTGACACGCTTCACATAAATCTGGTACAAACATTTAATACAAAATAAATAAAGCTAGTAGTCAGTTTCGGTGCACGTTATCCCTTTGTATACCGAAGACGTTGGACCAACTACGGCCCACGGTCCAACCGTTTTTCAATCTGGCCCTGCCACAACCAAACTAAAAACCAAATTTTGACGTTTTAGCTGAAAAATAGCTCAGGAAATTGTTGATATTGCGACTAAATTTAGTTTTGGCACGAGGCTTATTGTTTACAATGACACGTCAAGAACGGGTTTGAGCGAACCCGTACAAACCCCCTAATATGACCACTGAAACTGTACGCTTTCAACAATGACAATATATATGAAAGTAATAATTAGTTGAACGAAGACTCAACTTACTCTCATAAGATGCGTTAAATCCTCTGAACTCATCTATTTCGTCACTCACAAACTCAACGATGACTTTATTCGACTTTGAACGATATGTATTATGGCCAAAAATGGATGGAAAATAACGTCCAATGTCCCTTGTATCGTTTTCGTATATCTAAATGATGAAGTAGGATAAATGTGATATAATATTACTTGTAGAAAGTCAACAGATTTTCGATAAAATTTGAATATTGGCTATATACTAAAATATATTAATTGCACGTTTTTATCTAAATTTCTTAACGAATACGAACGAATTCTGGTGAAAAATTATTTTGCATTTCGGTATTGTAGCGTGATATAGTCATAAGCAATATAGTCAAAAGCAATTCAATTCATTGGACAGAAACAAATTCGATTCTAAAACAAGTGAACAAGGCAAAATTGGACGCAGAGAAAATTAAAAACAAAAAAACGATAGTATGTGTAGTATGTGTACCAGGTTATAGTTAAGGTTGTGCGACATCTTGGTGCGCATACTTCAGGAGCACCAAAGGGTCTATTAACTTTTTCCATCTTTAATCACTGAAAATATGGAATCGATTGGTACATTAGCTGCTTTTGAAAACAGCAAGTTATTGCATGTTTAAGATATACCTTCCGATATCCGCCATCTTGATTTACATACTTCGGGAGTACTGGCGTTTTTATCCAACATATCATCATTTATTCGGTATTGATATTTGGTTCATGCTTATCTAAGATGTTATCATGATAAACGTTTACCAATACATAGTCATTCCTGATATAGCCAAGTGGAAATAAACCGCTTCCTAATTCAAAGTCATTGAACGTTATTTCTATGATGTTTCCAGGTTCAACCTCGATCACCCAATCACAAACGTGATCGCTAAGATATTCCAACGGATAAAACGGACTTGTGAACGATCCTGATGGTGATGTCATCAATTTTGGTCCACATATTTCTGATGAAATAAAAATTGAAAAAAGTGACAAAAAGTTCTCGTGGATGGAGTTTACCAGGGCATCGACTTCCTTCTTAATTTTTGTAAACAATGGCTAAACATCAATAACCTAACGGCGAGGCACTAATAGAGGATTGAACAACTGCTTAGGTGCATTTCGCGCGAAGACAATTTTTAAAGCATGGTTGCAAACTCCTTATTTCTGGGATTTTTCTATTTATTTGTCAGTTTTCAGTCGTATTTCCAAATGTAAAACATAAATTAAATAGATCCCCAAAGTTCTTTTAGTTTCCGAGAAGTTGTAGTGAGGAGGCAGTAATCGAAAATTAGCCATGAAAAACTGCTATATACTTGGATAAAGTTAACTATCAGTATTTTTAAATAGCAGGCGATCAAATAATCTGAATCCAAATGGTGATTGTGAAACATATAAAGCATTTTGTACGCGCAAAAATACTTCAAAAATGAGAACCCACAATTTTGCAATGATAATGTGTAAGAATAATGTTTCTGTGCTCAAGAAGAGGGGAAATATTCACTGCAGGCGCCGATTTACAGCACCTTCGGGTTAGAAAACTGCAAACAATTTTCATTACATTACAAATTTGGCTGGCACATTGCAAGCTGATTTGAATCCTTCAAGATTTTTGCAAGTAATACGAGTTTGCCATTTTTACAATGAAAATACAGTAAGAGTAAAGAAATTAGAGTTAACGTGACTTACCTTCTGGCGCTGGCACAATGATGCATTGAACAATCGGTATACTGATCAGTAAAAACTTGGCTACACTCAACATAACGAAGTTCGAAACACTGTACTTTAAATAAGCTGAAATAATATTCGTTGCAAATTGAGTCGACACAATGGTTGAATGATAACATAAATATCACATATAACTAAGTCACGAGTTGACCACACGTCACAAGTTAATAAAATGCAGGACTTGGTGGGAGAAATTAACAAAACTTGAATAGTTCTAAATATTGACATACCTTTTTGAACGTTTGAGCAATCAAGCTGCTATTGAAGTTGGACCTGTCTGCTAACCGTGTTTGCTAAAGTAAATTTTGCATTGCGATTTTAATCACACAAACTAATATAAATATCAAATACCTAACTGATCTTTTTATTACTAATATTTTTACGCGTTCAACCTGCGGTATATTTTATCGCGAGACCATTTTGATAATATTTAAGCATGGAAACCGGATTACTGCAAATATTAACTGTTTTTAAAAATTAAGGCAAGTAGTCATTCCATATAATAATTCCCTGACAGTGTTGACTTGAAGTTAAAATGTATCTTTTAGCTCGATAATGTTTGATCAAGACACCTTTTGCAGCAATATATCTACTTTAATTTAAGAGTAGGATATCGAAATTTATACATCCGTATCCAAATGTATGTAAACTTTGTCAATCACTAGGCATGTTAAGTACGTGAATTTGGGTTACATAATAGTAAGTTCATTTCACGGTTTTTACGAATAAAAGACGTATTAGCTATACTACATAGGTGATTACTTAACTCTATTCATTCCGTTGTCTTCCATTAGACAGTACACTAAATAATAAACCCAGCTTGGCCATACCATTCTAATCTAGAATAAAAATAAAAGTCTTATATAAAGTCCTGTTCTAACATTCATACTACATCAAATAATAATATCGTTCGAATGAATCACCCCAAGCTATATTTCTGCACCTTGTTAAAGTTGATTTGATAATCATAATAATTTGCTGAACGGGACGCGCGACACGTACCGCAACCACAAAATACGAAAGAAGATCGTGAACATATTGCAAATTTTCTGTAAACAATACAATAAAAATATGGGATAATTTGCATAACAGTTTTGAAATAATTTTATAGATGCAAGCGTGTAATAACAAGAAGTCTCCTTATTACCATGCCACAATATTTCATGCAAAAGAAAGCCAAAAGCTATGGTAAAATACCCCCCACAATACTTTGAAACTTATGACCTTTGCTTTTGTCTTGCTATTCGACCATGTACATTTCAAGCGCTTCAACGTGAACTTATATATACTTGGAACAATGTGAATCTTCAATTTCTGCATTAGTGGACGGTCTTCATTGTTATTCTAATAAATTTAATTTTTTTCATGTCACAATAACACGAGATTCTAATCATACGCTGTTTTTTTGCCTCACTTTAACTGTTTCTACGTGCGTTTATCACGAAGCCACCCGACAATCATGATCAAGGAAACCCAAGTAATATTATAAAGATTTCATGACACGCATTTCTTGGATTCAAATATATACTATTCAAACATATTTGAGATTCAACACATATATAATCACTGTGGCTACTTTTTGTCATCATTGTTAATTGTTTAACTAAACTATTATAGAAAGATAGCATGCCCCTGATACATATATCATATAAATATAAGCCCATTATTTGAATTCAATGATGTTGCGAAACTTCTGCAAATAGTCAGATAATTGCCTACAAAGTCTATTTTTATTATTAAAAAGCGTTTGATAATTAGACCTTGCAACGCTAAAATAAATAGAAAGGTTTTATTAATATGTGAAGTACTTGCAAGTTTTGACCACATTGTTTTACACATTTAGAGTACTTTACTCCATAATTTCAGATAATCAACCATAAGAGTAAATGAATGAATTTGCAAAAACACATTATCACTAATCACGACAAATTAATTGAAAAACTATTTCAAAATCCTAATTAATTTCCAGCTTCGTTTAAAAAAAGACAAAGAACTTTTAACCTATACATTCGTCAAGATTTTATAACAAGATTGACATTTGAATCTCGTGTTTTCTATTATGCTAACCAAAATTGGATTTTATTTGTATTCTTATTTATTTACTTATTGAACCAGGCTATGTGGACATAAAATATTGGCAGTGCGGCTGTTGCGATACGTATTTTTAATCTAACATATCTTTGGTAAAGTTTTCTTTCCAAACAAACGAAAGCAACGAAATTCACCCACTTAATATTTATCAATATCAGTGCATGTTGTGTTTATGGAAGTACCAACAATTTGCGAACATTATAAGGAAATTTACTTAACTTGTTAAATCGGCCCCTCTTGCTGCGGAAAAATGATAAAATATTGGGAAGTATGTAAGACAGAAAGCTGAAGACTTCAAAATGAGCTTCATTTAAATACTGCATTTAAAAACAACCACTTTATAGATTATTCTATCTCTTTCTACAATGCTGAAATAAACACATTTGACCGCACGTTTACATACCTATTTGGTTTTGTATCCCTTTCCGTGTTATTTCATTCTATACAGTAGCGGCGCCCAAACTTTTTGTTCGTGCGGCGCCAAATCATCACGGAAAAAAGTCGCGACGCACTTACACGAAAAAATGATGCTTTTAAATAAAACTCAACATTGTGATCGTAATTTAAGGAAAATGATCACCTCTTCTTCCTCATCTCTGTTTAATTTTTCTTCAAATGCTAAAAAAATCACTGATGTTTGCTAAACTCGGTTCAGCAGATAAATAAACTGCAGCTCGCGAAATTGCAGCAAATGGTGACTACCTCTATTATTACCTAACGATAGAGGCAGACACTATACGTAATAGAAAGTAAACGACATAGTAAGGTAAAATGAAATTATTGATTCCTATACATATACGGTATATATCTTGACATATCATAGCCAAGTTTGAAAAAATTGGTCTGTTCATACCAGGATATGTAAGGTATACACCGCGAAAATATTAATATTCTTCTAGGAATCATTCATAAACCAATTCATGGTTCTCTAGCGCCACTCGATTTTGACCATTGTGTTTGTTGATAAACGTTATACTGAGTTGGGATGTGTGTTTTCAAAGAGATAAATTTAAGCGTCATGCCTACAACCTTCTTTCGTATGTACACTTTTCCTAATTTGCAGTGGTATGTATCTTAACATTAGCAATACTTCATAACTTTATTAAATTTAGGCTTTACAGTATAGGGAAATCGAACGGATAATTCTTGACCGCGTATATAGAATACAAAATTATACCTCATGTATCAAAGAAAAATCATATAAAGCAAAACGAAACGCTCAAAAGGTTTGTGAAACTATTATTCCGCGTAGATTTAAATTTCGCCTACACCTTGTATTTATATTCCAATATGATTTCATTGACATAATTGAAATAATATTTGTTCATACTATAGGAAAAGTGGCCCTAATCTGCATGTTCTTCTCCAGTACCATGACCTACTTTAGTGGGGTAAATCTCAATTTATTCCTTCAGGTCAAATAAGCACACAATACATTATAATGTCAAATATTGCGGAATTTGATATATCCCTATACAGTATTTAAATATATATACGTTAAATCTATTGTTTGTTATTATATGCAAGTAAAAGAACTATATACACCAAATAAAATAGAATACCATATTAAAGTGAATAAATGTTTTAACGTGTGAAAACGATAGATATAAATATTTTTTTTGCAGTTTTGCAGTTCGTAAATGTTGAAGTTTACTGAATGAAATTGAAATCTAACGCATCTCGGAAATATATAATACACTTCATTTGCTTTTGGACTGTTCAATTCCGCTTTCAGATTGAAGACACTTCGGAATTTGTATAATTTCCACTGAAAAACAACCAGTTCCACAAGATTTGCCATCCTGTGATAGAGTGCAAACCGAGAACAAAATTTTTTCATTTGCAACCTCCCTGACTATTCCATGTGCAACCCAAACATACGATTCATTCTCGCATTCGGAAATGTCTTGACGAATACAAAGCAAATCTCCTACGTGACCCGGCTCCGTGGATATGAACGAGCCGCCCGAATAGAATGTTGAATCCCACTCAACTTCAACATTTTCCAGTCGTACAATCAAAGGTTTGTGACCGCTTGTAAATGAACATTTTAAAAATTCTACCTTCTTCAATATTCCCAAAGCATATATGTCTGTTCTATCTGATTTGAATGCTAATTCGGGATTTTTTATGTGGGTCAAACACAAATGACAATTTGGCCCAATACTGAGTAATCTTAGGCTGAGTTCTTTGTTTTTATTAACGTCATATTCTGATACTTGAAGCTTAACCAGAAAGTTGGATTCCACGGTAAACAAGGTATCACAACCATTCTTCTTGTATGGGTATAGAATTGATTCCGGTTGAGGCCCTTCAAAATATTCTTTAATTTCCTCCGGAACATCTTTTCCCCAATCCTCCAAATAATCATCAATGTTTCCGCGATTTAAGGTAACGTATTCCTGATTGAAATATTCAGATTCACAATAAACATTCTTAAGAAGAAGAACTGTTTTTCCATTTTCAGTATCTACTTCCATGTTGTAATGAAGTTGGTTGTATTGAATTCTTTTGGTTGGTCTCATTATGAGCAGTTGGTGTTTTAGATTATTAAAGATATATGAGACTGAAAAACCATTGGCACCAACATTTGTTATCACAGCGTCAGCCAAGTGTGGATTGTAGTAACGAATACAAAGCAGGCCAAGCAAATCATTTCGCGAGTACAGTGTTGAGCTCGGTGACACACAAGAATTAATTAAAATTTGCTGATTGACCTTGCTCGAAAGTTTTCGCAGCGGCGAAGTGAAATGCGCTGCATCTTCTTCAGGTAAGTTTGATGCTAATTTCACGTCAAGCTCGAATTTAACGCTCCTTTTAGCCGAGTCCGTGGGTTCTACAGAAAGAAACAAATCGGAAGATGCTAAAAAAGGCGCTAGTTCCTTAACACCAAAACATGTTTCCGTTTTATCTCTTTTTACTTCATCGTAAATATCACGTGGTACCAAAAGAATTTTGCTTTCTCTTTTCATTATTTGAATTGATGTATGTTTAGTGATTACATGACCAAAAACATACTTCTTTGCGCATTCGTTGTAACAATGCAATATTTTACCGACAAGTAAATTTAATTTCCAATCTTCAATTTCTCTTTTCCGAGAAACAATGTTATAACGACTCCATTGAAGATATTTAGCATCCATAAATTTGTTCCAAAGAATTTCAAACTCCCTTCCTTTAAATTCCATGAAAGAATACTCCTTGAAGATTTTCACTAGAGTAAAAGTGGGTGCACTTGCATTTGTCGAACAGGTATGAAAATAAAATGAAAGAGCCAAAGTAACACGACCTTCTAAAAACCCGCTTTTACGGTGATGCACGGGAATTTCATCTCTATGATGGGCAGAAATGTGTATTCCAATTTTATTACAACCGGGTTTTCCGCATTTCTGACACTTTTCAATACTAAAAGCGTCATCATGGCGTTTGGTTCCTTCCGTGTCTATTGTAAAAGCTTGGACCATATTTGACACCACATTAAATTTCATCAGATCGACTTTAGGTTGGATTGCTTTTGATAATATTTTAACTATTCTACCAAGGGTATAATCACGTGGCTGTCTCCAACTATCTGACATTTCTCGCATCCTCTTCATTTCTTTTGACTTTTGAAATAACACAAGATCATCAACTTCAGCATTGTCTAGACACCATAGATTATTCGGAACAAAATAAGTTTCGGGAATATTTGCATCAAT